AGGGCATTGCCCTTCACCCGGCTCTGGCAGGGCTGCTGGCTGCAAGCCCAGGCTGAGATGGTGGGGCATGGTTTGCCGATGCAAGAAACAGGGTGGAAATTGGTGGTTTGAGCTTTCTCTAGTTCAAAATTGAAACCCCAGCCGGGCACTGCATTCCCACAGCCCCTACAGCACCGTCCTGCTCCCTTCACCCCCGACGTGTCCAGTCCCTATTGTGGGAACATCTCTGCCACCCACCTCCATGCCCTCCATCCCATAAGGGTCCCCATCCCGGTGACACCTCTGCCACCTGCCTCCCCACCCTCCATCTCCAAAGGTCCCCATCATGGGAACACCTCTGCCACCCATCTCCCTGCCCTCCATCCCATAAGGGTCCCCACCACGGAGACATCTCTGCCACCTTCCTCCTTGCCCCTGAAATGGAGGCTGGGGGGCCGCTGGTGGTGGGGGTCCCGGGCTGCTCCTACCTGCCGGGGGATTTGGAGCCGCTGTCATCGGAGGAGAGCCGGGGAGGGGGGACACGCAGGGGGCACACCGCCCCGCTCCCCCCGCCATCCCAGCCCCTCACCTCTTGCGCTCTTTGTTTTTCTCTTTCCTTTTGTTCTTGGGGCTCCGGGACCTGGGGGAAGAGCCACAAGCTGAAGAGACTGGAGTGTGGGCAGCACCTGGGGAGCTTCCCTGTCCCCCCCGCAAGCCACCGAGGCTGCAGGAGGAGCGATGGGGATGACCTGCCAGGACCTGGGCTCCACCAAGGTTCAAACCATGGTGGGGGGCCCGGCTGTCTTTGGGGGGACCGTGGGGTGCACATGCCGGTCAGCGAGGCTGGATGGGAGGGGGTGGCAGTGGGAAGGGAGGACTGGCTCTGCTCGGCATCCACAGGGCTCAGGCCTGTTGTCACCTCTCTGCTCACCTTGCCCCTCCATCAGCCTCCCCTGAGCCCCACTGCCCACCTGGACACCCTTTGCCTGTTTTTTACTTCTTTCACCCTAAAATAGCAGTGCCATCTGAGGGCATCCACAGAGCAGGGCACAGCCGGGGCTTGCCCTGGCCACAGCTGCCCAGCATTACCCCTTCTCACCTGAGGGAGGATTTGGGGCTGTGTGGGACCCTGTAGGCACCCAGTGCCACCTCCAAGAGTGGGGGATACCCAGTGGTGGCTGTCCATGGGGGTGAGGGGGGACACTCACCAGGTGAGGGACAGACAGATGGACAGCGGGTGATGGCAGTCCATACTCACACCCACCATGCCCAATGGGTCCATCCCCTGCCGGGTGGCATGGGGTCCGTCCCCATGGGTGGAGGGGATGGGGACAGCGGGAGGGCAGGGGACAGGGGGTCCCTGACGGCAGAAGCTGGCTGCCAAGGCTGGTGGCAGTGGGGTGGCTCCCAGCAGCCATCACTCTCACCTGTGTCTTCTCTTCTTCCGTGACCCCGACTCAGACCTGAGGGATGAAGAGGAGGCAGAGATGAAGGAGACACACTGAGCCAGCCAGCGGGGAGTGAAGGCCAGGCAGCCCCAGGGGATGGGGACAAGGGTGGAGGGGTGGCCCCAAGATGGGGCTGGATGGGGCAGGTGACAGCTGCTGTGAGGAGGTGATGGCCCCATAAAGAGCCCTCAGCATCCATCCCTATCCGTGCTTCCATCCCACCCCAGTTCAAGGCCCACCCAGCCCCACTGTCCCCAACAGTCCCTTCTGTCCCCAGCCAGCCCTTTCTGTCCCCATCCAGCCCCGCTGTCCCCAGCCTGATGTGGTGTCCATCCTACCTGTCACGTCTGTGTTTCTTTCCAGTCTTCTTTTTCTTCTCCTTGCGGATGGGTGAAGAGCTGTCGCAGCTGGGGGGCGGGGGGGAAAGTAGGTGCCCTTGAGGGGGGAGCAAGGGACCTCCCAGCCCCATCCCTGTGGCCCAGGAGAGCCCCGTCCTGCCACCCCCCAGCACCCTGCTTCCCCTGGACCACCCATGGGATGCAGGAACATTGCACAGCGATTATTTCTTGGGGGATTTGGGGTTGAGGATAGAAATGGGCTTTTAGCAGGAGGGCTCTGGCTGCCTTTGATGCTGGAGCACCTGAATCCCGCTGTGTCCCATTGCCACCTCGTGGGCTCCGCAGCCTCCAGCAGGGTGGGCAGTTCCCACTGGGCTTTCAGAGGGATACAGTGGGTGGCAGAGGCCAGCCCATGCCCGGTGCCCTGCATGACCAACGGGGACCCCGCAGCCCACCCAGCCCAGCAGGCACTCACCTGCGCTCCGAGCCGGGTTTCCTCTTTTTGCTGCCGTGGGGAAGGCAGAGAAGAAAGGCACATTAGGGACAGCATCCTGCCCAGCCAGCCAGCACCAACTGGGGAGGGGACCAGTGGGTGGACAGAGCCAGACCCTTCAGGGAGCCAAATCCTTCCCGGTGCTGTGCCCTGTGGCAGCCAGCTCCTTCCCAGCATGGACTGGGCAAGGTCCCACCAGTGTGTGCAGCTGGGTCGGCTGATGGCACTGTGCATGTGTGCACACATGTGTGCATGTTGCACCACCAGCACGTGCAGATGCATTTCACTTCTTGAGGGTGCACACTTGGGGGTGTGCTGCCCCCCAAAGTGGGGGGATTTGCCCCATCAGAGCCTAGGGAAAGGGTGAGCCTCCCAGGAGAGGGGACAGCATGGGGACATCCAGGGACTCACCGGCTCCGGCGGTGACCTGATTTCTTTTTCTTTTTCTTCTTGGGTGGAGGAGAGATGGAGCTGCTTGAGCGTCTTTTCAGCCTGTGAGGAGAAGGCAGACAGGGTCAGGGGAAGAAAGGATGACTGCCCCAGGCTCTCCTGGCCCCCGTGTCCCCCAGTGGAGACCTGGCAGGCAGGGAGACATCCCACTCTGTGCACACCCACTCCCCAAAATCCCTGCTGTGGTTCCGGCCGGACCTGTACTCGCGGTGGCTGCTGTCCTCACGGTAGCATTCGGCTGAGCAATCGCACTGCAGCAGGCAGCCCTCGCCGTAGTCCACGGGGTACTCCACCGCGTACTCCTCCCCATCTGCCCCATGATGGTTCTCTATCACACTGTGGAAGGAGGAAGCACAGGATTAATTCGGGGCTCCCAACCCCCATTTCCCACTGGAGCAGCTAGGGGAAAGCCTGGGGAAGCCCTGGTGCAGCAGCAGGAGCTGGGGGACAGCCCCTCCACCACAGCATCCCAGGGGACCTTGGTCACATCACCTGAGGTCACATGCAGCAAAACCCCATGGTGCCACCGCATGGTGGGGGTCTTCTCAGGGTCTTCCTGGAGCTCCTGTCCCTGCAGTAAATCCCTGCCAGGCTGGCATGGCACACTGTGGGGCTTGGGCCACCATCTCCCCCTTTTGGCAGTGCTGGGGCTGAGCCGGGGGCTGGGGTCAGCCCAGGGAGGTGGTGGGGCTGGATTAGGGCGAGAGGAGCTGGCAGGAGGTTCGAGGGATTCGGGGGATTATCCACCTGCTGGCGGGAGCTGCCCAGGATGATCTGGGCTTTGAGGCTGATGCCTCAGTGTGCCGCTGGCTTCAGGCAGGTGATGGGTGATGTGGCCCCTGAGCCAGCCAAGATGGGATGGGGGGACATCGGGCCTGAAGCCACCTGGGTCTCCTCTCCCTTCTGAGCCACTTCGTCAGCATTAATTTTTCCCGCTGCCATGGAAACCGGCGGGAGGTTGCCATTGACTACCGGGGCTGTGGGCAGGGCTTGGCGGAGGCCTGGCAGCTGGAGCAGGCAAGCAGGAGGGACCCGGGAGTCCCCTGCCCAGCCTCTCCCTGCCATCCCCAACCTCCCTGGTCCTCCTCTGCCATCAACCTCAGGAACAGCATCAACCTGAGATGTAGGACATCTCACCCTGGGAGGGACGCAGCCATCCAGGTGATCTGGAGGGAACCGTGGTGGATGGGGCCGTGCCTGCAGGGTGTCAGCCCGGGCACTTGCTTCCCAAGGAAGATTTGCCCTCCGAAACCCGATGTGGGCTCCTCTGCCGTTCCCAGCCTGGGGGCATGTGGCCAGGGATGCTGGTGGAGAAGCGCAGCCCCCACAGCACCAGTCCCTTGGCAGCCCTGCCATGGATGCTCCCAGCCCCAGACAGCAGATCCGAGAGCTGTACGTGTTGGCATCCCTGGCCGCAGGCAGGTCCTGGTCTGTTTAACCCAATTAAAAATGGTTTGGCCCAAAACTAGAAGTGAGGCATCCTCCTCCTGACCACGGGTGATCGCTCAAGCGGTTCTTGGGCTCCCTTCTGTGCCGCAGCCATGGCTTTCTGGGTCCTCTCCAAGTGAATCTTGCCTTGGCCATGCCCCAAGGGCAGTAACGGCCTTTCAACCACCCACCCAACCATGGGAGGGGGGAGAAAAGAGGAAAAGAGAGGAGCAAGCAGGGATAATTCCCTCTTGGACTCTCTGCTCCGTGAGCAGGCAGTGCTCCATGCCAGAGCTTGCTGCCAGCATCTCACCCATTAGCCATGCTCAGCGGCTCAAGATGGGCTTGTGCTGCCCCAATTATCTCTCCCTGCCCGGCACACGCTTGAGTTTGTTTTCAATCCCACCAGCCTGTCTGTCAAGCAGTTATTCCTTGGGGACGGGGCAGTATTGCCAGGCTGCGTATGCACAGGGGCGGGAGCTGGAGGAGCACAGAGAGCAGGACGGGGACTCAGGTGGTCACGACTCTGCTCAGTGCCTCAGTTTCCCCTGGGGAGTTTTGCAGATGATGCTGAGCTTTCGCATCTGCTTTGAAGCAAGAGCAGCTGGTTCAGACTCATAGTCCTGGCAATCAAAGACTGAGCTGTAAAAGTCTAGAGAGGTGCTGGAGCCAGACCAGCCCATGAGATGTTTTGCTGAGTACTCTCTCAGCCGCCGCAAGGCATGGAGCTCTTTATTTAAAGTTTATTTAACTCCCTTGTCCAGCCTCTTCAACCAGCACAGAGCTTTTGCACCCAGGATATCCTTTGGCAGGGACTTCAGCAGCTCAGGTCCCCACTGCATGAGGAACCACCTCCTTTGGACCCAGCTCCTACCAGCCTCCTCCAAGCGCCTTCGGCTTTGCTCTCCTTCGAGCAATCCTCTGCTTTGAGACTGCTCTTTCCAGCTCAGCACTATTATTTATAGCCTCTAGGCTAATCTTTAATGATTACCCTTCTTATTGCAAAAGCAAGCCTGCAAAGGTGGCAGCTAGGGCTGCTTGGGTAACCTTAACCCACCTTTGGCTTCCCTATGAGCTTGTTACAGCACCAGTCCTAACAAGCCTGCCCGGGAAGATGCCCTGGAGATGACGCATGCCCCCACAGGCAAAGGCCACTTGTTAACACCTTGACTTGATGCTCAGTGACCCGGGCAGGTTGTTTTGGGTTTTTTTTTTCCCATGCCTGTTTTTTTCCTGCCCGGAGAAGGACCAAATGCTTCATGCTGCCCCAGGGCCATGCGCCCCATCCCAGGCTGGGTACAGCCAAGCCATGTGCCTCCCTGCCCAGCATGCCGGCAGAGCAGTGGAAGGTGGGCTCTCCCTGCCGCCACGGCTTCCCTGCCTCCCCCCTCGCCCTGATTTCCTGACCCTAATGAAGCATTAATATTCAGTGAACCTGCAGCATCTATTCCTGTCCCAAGTGACCTGGTTTCCAGGCTGATGGATGGTGCGCGCCAGGCCAGCCATGCTGCCTGGGCCATTAAGCATCGTGCAGATAAATCATCATCGAGCCAGGGCGGACCCTTGCAAGGCTAGAGACAGTTCAGCACAGGGCAGGAGGAGCGAGTGGCACATCCCCAGCAGGAGCTGGGCTGCTTTGAACACCTAACCTGAGCCCCAAGCTCCCCTGGGGCAAGAAGCAGCCCCCAGGGACCAGGCAGCATGAGGAGTCATCAGGAGGCAGAGGCATGGGGCAGAAGCTCCTTGGAGAAGCTTATTCCATGGGGCTCCTTGGGGTTACACCAGCCTGATGGAGACGCAAGCTCTGGGTCTACCCAGATGCAAAGCAAGCTCAAGCCCTGCTTATCCAGCCTGGGTCCCTTGTAACTCCACTGATTATTACTGTTATTAATGATTATTATTGCTAACACCAATATTACCAGGGTTACAGAAGAGCAGCCAACCTCCCAAACCATCTCCAGCCAAGCTTAGTTACCCCAGCTTCACGCCTGGAGACAGGAGGACTATTCTGCATTATGGGGTTAAGAGCAAGGACTGGAGATCAGTGCCCTTGCCTGGCTGGAGGCAGAAGCTGCAGTTTCAGCCCTGGTGAGAGCAGGAGAGGTGACCCAAAGAGGCAGAAGCAGGCAGAGATGAGGCACAGCAAACCTGCAGCTTTGTCTCTGCCAGAGGCTGATGGGGTGAGCCAAGCATCGAGATCTTCTGTGCTTCGGTTTCATCATCTGTTACAGCAGCATTGGAATTCTGGCCTCTCTATACAGCACTCTGAGGTCTCCAAAAGACCAGTGCAGGATAACCTCTAACCTCTCCAGAGGTAGGATCCTGCTTCAGAAAGGCAAACCCTGCCTCCAACCAACCAATCAACCAACCATCAACCAACCATCCGTCCAACCAAACAACCAGTGATCCAAACAACCAATGATCCAAACAACCATCCCTCCAGCCCCCCCTCCAGCCCTATATACCCTCTTTATGCCCATCCATCCCTATATATATATGCCCTCTCTGCATCAATTCACCCATCTATCCACCCACCCATCCATCCCTCGATATTCGGAGGCAATCTGGGATGTGCCTCTCTGGGATGAGGGACCTACAGGATGCACAGACGGGCCGACTCGGAGCTGCTTCACTTACATTTGGCGGCCATGCTGGTCCTCCCTGGTGAGCACGCCTTCCTTCTCCATCAGCATTTGCCGAAAGGTCCCCACTTTCTGCCGGATCTCCTCTTCGGAGTACCTGGATGGGCAAAGATGCGGTCAGGGCTGCCATGGTGGGAGCGTGGGCTCCCCAGGGACCTGCTGAGGACCTCCATACCTTCAGGAGAGACATGTGGCCTGAGAGGTCTGTCAGAAGGAGAAGTGGCATGGTGACCATCATCAGGGTCTGGAGGAGAGTAGGTCCCTCCGCTTGGTCCCCTGCCACCACCCTCCATGCCCTCCTTTCTCCTGCCTGCCCCTCTCAGCAGTGCTTGGCAGAGGAATGGACATCAGGAAGAGGATAAAAGAAGAGGAAGAAAAAGAAAAAAAGAGGATGACCATGACGTTGCCATTCCCCCCCTGCTGCACATCTCCGCTGAACTCCCTCGGCAGCGCCAGCATTGCAGCTGAGGTGGGGGTTCGCACCCGGTGCCTCTGTCCCATTGCGAGCCTCCCTTGCTCATCCCCGCGCTGCACCAGGGCCCCGGCAGCCGAGCCAGCTCTGCGCTAATGCTGAATGCTGACTCAGGCTGCTGCAGGGTTATTAATGAGAGACACTAATCACTTTGTCCCTGGCATCTGAGAACAGCCGCGGCAAAACACGGCACTCCAGCCGTCCCTGAGGCGTCCCTGGGGAGGGACGGGTGACAGCCCTGGACGGGCAGTCCTGCGCTGCATCCCGTGGTTGCACAAGGACACCCGAGCATCCCTCATCGAACAAAACCATCCAAACAGAGGGATGTGGAGGAGTGAGCCGTGGTGCTCTCAGCACCATCCCTGGGGACAGGGCAAAGGGAGAGAGGCCCTGTGTTGTCCTGTGTCACTGCCACCCTGCTGCTCCGGGAGGGAAGGGGACAGGCTCTGCGTGCATCCCTGTTCTCAGCCACATCGTCTACAGGGGCTGCTCATGGTCCATCCTCGCCATCACGTCCCATCAGCATTGCCACTAACAAACCCAGAAAACTGGGTGTCACAGCCCAGCCAAGCCCTGTGGTCCCTGAGGCTGGCACCTTGCAGAGCCCATGCTGGGTATGGTGATGCCCTGCGCAGCACCGTGGGTGCCCCTGGGTGTGGAGGGGCATGTGGCAGCACCCACAGCCCTGCCATGCCCACAGAGGGGAGCAGAGAGAAGAGGGGAATTAATATTAACAAGCTCATTTGCTCTGAAAGGCTCTCATTAATTCCCCAGCTGGCCAGGACTCCTGTGCAGGAGGAGGGCGGCTAACCAGGCACGGAGGCAGCCCCAGCCACTTTCTCTCACCTTGCACCCTGCCTGGGGGGTCCCAAGAAGAGGGCAGCACCCCCAAATGCTGCTCTGCACTGTACCCTCACCACCAGTGCAGCCAGTCATAGAATCATAGAATCATAGAATCATAGAATGTTTTGGGTTGGAAGGGACCCCTAGAGGTCATCTAGTCCAACCCCCTGCAGGAGCAGGGACACCGCTAACTAGATCAGGTTGCTCAGAGCCCCGTCCAGTCAGGCAGAGCGTGGCTGTCCCGTGAGGATGGAGCTGCCGGCCCTGGCCATCCCATGGGCATCAGCCAGCCAGCGGCAGCAGGAAGATGTCCGCCCAAGAAAACAAGCATTTGTTGCAGCGTATTATGGATGCAGCCGATGCTCTTGGAGAGGGGACACGAGGCCAAATGGGAGGTGACAGATGGGCCACTGCGGCTGGGCTGTTAGCAAATCTGTGGGGGGCAAGGCCAAGGCGAGGAACCCCCGCTGAACCCTGCGATCCTGTGATGGAGGCAGGAGCCAGCCTGCCTGAAGGCCAGCCCCTTCCCTCCTGCACCTCCCAGCGCTGCTTGTAACCCCCGGTGGAGGGATTTGGGTTTTGCATTTAACACATATAATGGGTTTGGGAAAGAAAGAAAAATTGCTGACGCTTCTTTTCTGGAAAAGAAACCCAACCTGCAGGCAGGGCATAACGGCGCAGACAGCCTGGAGTGAGCAGCAGCCGGGTACAGTGCAGGCAGGAGGAGCCATCCGAATTTAAGGAAACAAGGGAGAGTTTAAATCCCCGCAAAACCTCCTCTGCTGTCACACCCGTTCATCAGGGGGGCCCTGCCCTTGCCAACAACTCCCCCAAGGCCGCAGCCAGGATGCAGCCCCCAGCCCAGGCAGAAACCTCAGGGGTCCAAAGCGCTTCCCGTTCAAGCCCTCCCAGAAAGCCTCCTGTGGGGGGCAAGAGCAGGCAGAGGATTAACCAGGTTGACCAAGATTATTACTGTAATTATGCTATCATTTCAGTGTATCACCGTCATCACCATTATTAATAGCCTTAATAATAGCAAAGGCAATTATAGCAATAACAACAATACCGACTGCAGCATTGCTATTACCCATCGCAGTAATGATACTACTAGTAGTAAGATCCCTAGTAGGGCGCGGGAACTCGACAGGAGGCTCTGGGCTCCCCAAGGCGCCAGGTCAGCCTTATTTATTTCCATAACGACAAATTAGGCACAATCATTATTCCAGTCTCTGTGAGACAATTTAATTCTAGGTCACGCTTGCGCTCTTAATGAAAGCCTTGGCGAAGCCTTCCCTCAATCCATTTTCCTTCTCCCCAGCTGATACCAGTCCCCGTCTACCCGCATGTGCCGAAGAATTTGCTCCATCCATCAGCTTTTAGCGAGCTGTCAGGGGGATCAGGCTGTTCAGCTGGTGCCGGAGCTGTGGGGCAGCCGTCAGCATGGCCATGGGTCTGGCAGAGATGGGGGTCTCCTCACTGGCATCCCAGGCAGGGATGTTCTCCAGCTGGCTTTCCCCCAGCCCTTTGCTTCCCCGGGGCAGAGCAAAGGCTGCAGAACAGCTCAGGGTGCACAGCCAGGGGCACGGCAGGACTGGGGGGATCCTCTCACCCCAAAACTGGGGGGAGAGAAGGAAGGCAGGACAAACTGAAGCACTAAAGCAGCCTCCACCACAGCTCTCCTTCATCTCCCCAACACGAGAGACAGAGAAGGACCATCTCCCATCCCAGGCACGTGGGCCACGGGCCAGGCAGTAGTGATGGCTGCCCCCTTCCTGCCTCCACTTGCCCAGCACAATGCGTTGGGAGCCCAGATTTCCAAGCGGAGGTGCTGGAGCGAGCCTCCAACATGTGTGTGGATGCACTCTTAGGTCTGCGTTTCTTGGAGGCATTTAGCTTCACAAACCAACCCACCAGTCCACCCCAAAGCTGTCCAATACACCCAAAAGTGGATTTACATCCAACTGGGGATATTTGCCACATTGAGGTATTTTTTCAGGGAGGAAAAAGGGGGAGAATGAGGTACAAGTGGGTCAAAAGGATCCCAAGCCACAGGGTCCATCTCCAGCCCAGCCCCAAGCCCCCGCCACTCACCCCTGCTCCTCCATCATCTCCTGCAGCTCCATGCACTTCAGCTCCACCCGCCGCTTGCGCTCATGGTCCAGGATTTCCCGGTGAGCCTTCTTCACCAGGCTGGGCTCTACCAGCCGCACCTCTTCCTCACCCTTGTGCCACGTACCCGAGGCACCAGGCTGCGAGAAGCCATTGGAGGCTTCCTGGGGCGAAGGCACATCAGCCCCGTTGTTGTAGAGAGCCATGGTGGCGTGGGTGGCCTCACCGCCAGCAGCGCCTGGGAGGGAGAGAAAGAGTTGGGGGTCAGTCCCTGCCCTGGCTTCCCTCTCGCTCCGTGATAATGAGGGGATCCCACCAGGACCTGAAGGCAAAATTTGTCTCAAAAGAGGTGTGGGGATACAGGTTGATGAGGATGATGACTGAGATCTGGGTCTTCTGCCAGCGCCCTTCCTGCCCCTTGCCTCAGTTTCCCCATCTGCAAAGCAAGGCTGGGACTATTCCCATCGCTCATGGGAAAGGGAGGAGGATGCTCTGTGCCAGCCTTGTACTGGGGAAAGCCTGGCAAAGCATGGGTCTGTGGCACCTGGAGCCATATGGTAGCAGCAGGACATGCAGGCAGGGGTCCCTCCGAGTCCCATGGACCCCGCTGCCAGCATCCATCCTCATAGCCCTCTTGGGACATCCTGGGCACTGTCCCAGCCAGCAAGGGGATGGACCCAAAGACCTTGGATACCCCATTGCGCAGGGAAGCGGCCATGGGAGATCTCAACGTTCAGGCCAGCTTCCCACCGGCTGCTTCCCCGTCCAAGCAGCAGCATCACACTGTTGCCCGCCTGCCTCCTCCCTGCTCTTTCACCTTCACACGTCCCTGCCTCCTTCCTCAGCCACCACAGTCAATGTGTCCTCACTTGGCTCCAAAAATAACCCCATGGAAGAGGACAACCGTTCCTGAGTGGCACTGCTGCGCTGAGCCTGGGGGATGCGATGCTCCCAAATCTCCTGGATCAACCAGACAGACACAACCCTGTCTCAGCGACCTCAGGTGCACAGCTGAGTGCCTGTTCCTCGGTCTCCCCATCCTGAGATGCCCCAGCCCCCTTGCCCAAAGCACTGGTCCCCTCCCCAGCACGGGATGCTCCTGCTGGAGATCCGCTGCCTTAATTACCAGAGGCAGCCAGGCTGCAGAGGCACCACCTGGGCTTTACCGGGGGCTCCCCCAAATGCTTCTCCTGCAAAGTCCTACACAAAGATAAATGTTTGGGGGTGAAAGCAGAGCACCCTCCCTCGCTCTCCAAGCTGTCTTTGGGCTCAGAGACACAGCTTTTGTCAGCAGCTGCTTCTCCTGGCTGTTTCCAGCCCAGGGACCCTGCTGGAGAGGCTTTTCTGAGGATGGGTGCTGCTTGAACATTGCACCTCAGGGGCTGCTACAGGGAGCGGTTAGAGGACAGACATCCCTCTCCCTACGCGGGAAGCAGCACCCATGGGGCCGACCCTTGCTGTGATGCCCAGGGTGTCTGACACGCTGCCCAAGGAGGATGGGCCCAAAAGCTGGCTCAGGGAAGGAGGGATCCCTCAGCCGGGCATGGGCATGAAGGCAGGACGGATGGACCACGGATTGATCTGCACTGTTTCAAGCCGAGGGAGGGCTCGCCGCTCAGGCAGTTCAGAGCTTTCCATAGCCGTGCCAGGTGGGACAGAGCCGGGGTGGGAGCGTAGATTGCCTGCAAGAATCTTTGAGGACATTTCTCTGCTGTTTGAGGAGAGAAAAAACCTCCGAGCCCTCCCCAGGGTGGCAGGGGTCCCAGCCCAGCAGGAAGGCATCTCCCACCCTGCGGCATCCCAAAGGGACACCCCTGGCTTTCCTGCTGCCACAGGCTGCCCCATGCATATATTTATCTCCTGACGAGCCTGCCCGGGGAGGATGGCAGCTGACTGCTTAATTACAAGGCTTATTTTTTCCTTTATTTTCCCCATTATTACCATGCAGAGAGAAGCCAGCAGCCTCTATTGCCACAGAAAGGAGGAGCAGGCAGCGGGAGACGATGCCAGTGTAGCAGGAGCCAGCTGGGGCTCTGCACCCCCCGGGTGCTTGGCCCTGTTAGAGCAACTGCAGGGTCCCTTGGACCGCTCCTGCCTGCAGCAGACAGGGAAGCACCCACATTTCCGGCCCCATGACACCCCACAGCAAGGAGCTGCCCCATTCAGCCCTCCCTACCCCGAGGGTGTCCCTGACCCCAGCCCCCTCTGTGTCCCAGGGTAGTCTTGGGCCAGAGATGGGAGAGATGCTACAGAAAAACCTGGCTCAGGGGCTCCTCTTCCTCTTTCTCCCATCACGGCATGAAGCCAAAAACCAGGAAAGAAATCTGGCAATGGGGGAAGCTCCCCACTGGGAACCCTTCACCCACCGAGGGGCTCGGGGAAGGAGAGGGGGAAGGAGAGGATGCTTTCCACCGCAGCCTCTGCTTGCTTTTTCCCAGTGGGAATTAATTTTATCCTGAGCACGGCAGTGGGTAAATCCATTGCTGTGAAGCCTTGGGAGTGTGTGGGATATAGAGCTGGGCAGGTAGGTAGAGGAGCATGTGAGATAAACCAGGAGCTGGATGGTACCTGCGGGTAAGGGCTGCATGGTGGGGGAGGCACACAAATCCTGCCAGAAAACACTCCATGTCTCCGTAAGAAGGATGTGGTTGGAGATATCCCCCTCACACCTGCACTGCATCCTGGTGTCCCCTCAGCCATGAGCAATATCCACTGTGAGAGCTGACACCAGCCACCCCGCCTCAGCCACAGCATGGGCAGGAGAACAAAGGAAGAGAAAAACCACTCGCAAACCCCCGCTGGCTATCAATAGCAAAGCCGGGCCATGGGCAAAAGCCCTGGGTGGAAAACGGAGCCAGACCTACATCTCTGGTGACAGCGGGGACAAGGCACCAGGGCATGGAGGAGCCCATGTCCCCCAGGCTGGGTCTGTGCCCTCCCTCTCCCCAAAGGAGAGCCTCAGTGATGCCCTGCACAGGGGCATCCCTGCACCTGCAAGGGACAGCTCAGGGACATGGGGTGGCCATCATCACCACAGCCTCCATCCATCGGCCACCACACGGGGACCACCCGGCTCTGCCAGCTCACACCGGCACCAAACCCAGCACCAAGCCCAGCAGCAAAGGCAGCGTGGCCCTGCCCAAATGGCAGCAGCTTCCTGCCTGGCTCAGCGCTACCCCCGATAATAAAGACGATAGTTAAATATTTCATTATCTGCAGTAATTACCCACAAATCATCAAGCACTGGCAGCCTGTCGCCCGGCCGCCTCGCCGAGAGGGAGAGGAGGTGTCTTGGGGCAAGCGCTGCACCGAGTCCCTACAGACTCCTAAAGGCTGCAGGATGAGGCTGGAGCCAGACACTGGCACCCATCCCCACCACCCTAATCCCCAGCACTGGGGTACTGCCACCCAGCAGGGCTCAACTCCCCAGTACCAGGGCAAAAGGGGTCCCTCTCCTGCTGGGGAAACTCCTGAGCAAATCCTTTCTCTTCCCATTTTGCCGAGCCATTTCCCCAAGCCATTTCCCTTGGCATTTTGGGATCCTGATCTCCCCCACTGGTGCTCCACATGCCACCTTGGAGAGGTCAAAACAGCTTTTCAGCTTACAGGTGCTTTCTGTTGTCTAGATTAGAGCTTTTGGAAATGTTCAGAGCTGCCCCATCCTCATCCTCCATCTCCATCTTCCGTCCCTATCCTCCATCCCTATCCATCATCCCCATTCTCCATCCCCATCCTAATCCCCATCCTCCTCCTCATTCCCATCCTCCATCCCCATTCTCCTCCCCCTCCCCCCTCCCCATCCCCCTCCTCACCTCCATCCTCCATCCCCATCCTCATCCCCATCCTCCACCTCCACCCCCACCCCCATCCTCATTCCCATCCTCCATCCCCATTCTCCTCCTCATCTCCATCCTCCATCCCCATCCCATGCTTTGCACAGGGACCAGCCTGGTACTCTGGGTCCCAGCCACACTTGAATCGCACCCAGGGTGTAGAGGACCTGGGCACCAGTGTTGCTGGGCCAGTGGAGGCCAGGACAGACAGAAGAACAGACACACTATGCTGTGCCCCCAACACACAGCCAGGACAGGCCCCACCAGCTTGGGGTGCAAGGACCAGCCTCACCATCCTGCTGGGCTTTGGGGCTGCTGGTTTTCAGCCAAGCTTTGAACCAAGCTCCTTCCCTGCAGGCTTTGGAGGGAAGCTCGGGGATTGGAGCTGCAGCCCGAAGGGAAAGAAGAAAACAAGGAAAATGAGCAAAAAAAAGTGTTATTTCACCAAACTGTTTGTGCTCTTTTCTTTTCCAAGCCCAGAAACAACCCCCTTCACATCTGACTATGTGAGCATCCTATGACTATGTGACTATCCCCCCCGGGCCCTGCTCAGCTCCCCGGCCATGCCCGCAGCACCCTGGGCACGGGGCTGTGCTGGAGGCAGCTGCCCGTCGCTCCTGCCCACTGCCGCCGCAGGGCCCTGCCACGCCGTAATGCGGATGAAGCCATTTCCCAAGCAGGAGCGGGCATGGCAGCGGGGAGCTGGCAGTGCCTGGATGCTCCCAGCATCTCCCCCCTCAGTGGGGAAAGGCCACAACAGTGCCTGGTCATCCTCTCTCTACCACCTTGGTGCTAATTAAAGCCACCTCTGGCCAGTGCTCAATTAATTCTCGCCACATCCAGTTGCACCAGCCAGGGCAACAGTGAGTGCCCATGTGCTGGGGATGCAGGCACGGGATGCAGGCAGTGAGCCCAGCATGGCAGCTCCCTGGACCACTCGTGCAGCCCCAAGAAGCAGGGGACAAGCCAGCCAAGGCAGGGACCCTCCAACCCCACCAGAGAGGCCAAAAGAGGTGGCCCCCCATGGTTCCCCTGCCCACTGCGGTCTCATCAGGGCACATCACCACCTACCAAAATCATAACCCTGTCCCCTAAGTGTTTACAGCCCTGTCCCAGGCTGCTCTTTGCCCGTGCTGTGGGCACAGCTGGGAGAGGGGCTTTTTTGTTGCTACACAAAAAATACCAGAACATCACAGCAAGGCAGCCGGCCTCCTCTAAACACCTGGCCAGAATTACAAGGAGGAAAAGTCCGGGGTTGCTGCCGTTAATTGGGCTGACCTTCTCTGGAGCTGCCTTTCACCAGTCCCTGAGTGCCAAAAACCATGAGTCAGACCTCCAAGAAGGAGAAAAAAAAGGCAAAATTGGCTTTAAAAGCATAGCCGGTCCGGGGCTTGTTAGCACTGCC